GAAGGAAGGAAGGAAGGAAGGAAGGAAGGAAGGAAGGAAGGAAGGAAGGAAGGAAGGAAGGAAAAAATAGTATGCTTCAGTCTGTATTCAGATACCATCAGTTCTTTCCTTTCCTTTTGAGTTTTCTTCCACAAAATGAATAATATGGAAATATGTTTTACATGATTACACATGTATAACCTATATCAGATTGCTTATTGTCTCAGGGAGAGGGGAGGGATAGAATTTGGAACTCAAAACTTAAAAAAAAATGTTAAAATTGTGTTTACATGGGGGAAAATAAAATATTGGGGAAATTGGGAAAAAATGTTAAAAATAAAAGAGAAAAGAATGTGTTTTAGTGGGAGGGTGAATTCAGATTGAGGGTTTGTGTAGGAATATGATAAGGTGCTGGGAAATACAGATGGCAGAAGAAGAAGAAATGCTGAGTCACAGACTGGACTTAAGATTCTCAGCTCTACAAAGAGACTATTAAAGGGGCTATGCCATGCCTAAGGAGAACTTCTGTAGTACTCACAAAACTAAAAGTACATCAAACAATGAGGAACTATGAGCTAACCCTTTGCCACATTGCTATCCAAGCTTGATCCCTCTACCCCCTGGACTCTGAGTGTACTTGTGATAGACTGTGTCACTATCTTTTAGGAGAATATTTGGTACCAGATTTTCTTTCCATAATACTTTAATAATTACTATTACTAATTTAGCAATTAGTAATTCCGTAATACTTTACCTGTTTTTCCTAAAAAAAAAATGCCCAAGGCTTGCTGATGGGGACTGGAGATCTATGGTACTGGTAAGATACTCCACCCCACCCCATGCCCAATCTTTCTGGGCTGCCCCTACAGTTCATAAAAGGATATAGTGTACATGCTTTGAGGCACTGATTCAGTGCAAGTGGAATTTGGGATAATGACTTCAAAGCATGTGCTACATTAATGAAATTCTAGATTTTTATCCCCATTCAGATACCAAACCAATTCCTCAAATTCCTCACAATTGTGTCCCTTCCAACATGAATCCCCTTTATGGACACTTCATCTAATTTGCCTCTTATCCTCATGGTTTTTTCTCTTTCAGGATAACTCTACTTCCTCTAAAAACACATGTAAGACTGTTATGGTTAAGCTCAAGTTGGGGTGCAGTGTTAGGGCCCTGCTCTGGACCTCTGGCCTCCTGTAGGGGAGTTGAGACGCCTGGAGGTTATTACCTGCCCAGGAGTGCCTGGGCTTATCCAGAGACGCATGACGTTTACCAACTGTCGAATGGGCACTGGGAGGGCCTCTGTAACAGGACGGAGCTCCACCTACGAAGGAGGAACGGAGGAGGAGCACGGGCGTAGCGGGGAGGAGTTTGGGGGAGTTGAGGGGCAGCGAGGAGGGGGTGGGGAGTTAGGACTTGGGGCAGGGAGCGAGCAGAGCAAGTTTAGTTTAGCAAGCAATGTAATCAATAAAGACGCAACTGCCAACTCGGGTGTTCTGTCTAGTCATTCCCCTCTCACCACGGGGGGGCCGGAGACGTCTGAAGACTGTGGGGTGAGTATGCAAGCGAAGGCTTGGGTGGGATAGCTGACTAAGTGCACTACGTCAGCTAGGGGACCCACCCGCACGCAACAGTGCAGGCAGAGGTATACTATTAAATGTTTAACAACTGGCTCTCTGAAGAAACATGTA